AATTACAATTAGCTTTGTTTTAAAAAGTTTTATAATTGACATCATACGCCCTACTGCTAGGCACATACCTCATACTCTTATTTTTGAGGTTATCCAACTAGGGTACAATGTGTCGCCGCGATACCCCAGTGCCTATTGGCGTACTTCATAATATATCCCCGAAATATTTTGACATGCAAGACTCCTGAAGTTTTTCCTTGATCGCCGAGCACGTGGTAAATCAGCATTCAAAATTAGCTCAGGTGCAAAGCGTAAACCGTAAATAACATAGTACACGAACAACTCGGATTTGATCCACACCAGCACTGATGGAATTGTTAATTGCAATTTTTATACAGTTACTTTCTTTTATACGTATTGCGATAAAACGTTAATCTAACTTCCTTGTAATTTTTATTCCTACCATATTAAGATACTTTAAATATTTTTCGTGTTTCTACAATAAAATACAAATAATATGATACGCTAAATAATTTAGAATAAACATTCGGTAAACAGAATACGGTACATTAGTTCCGATTTCATAACAAAACGAGGGCGATGCCAGTGGCCAAGCATTGTTTCTCATAAAGGAAGTTAAGTTTCAGTTTACTTTTCCCTCTACAATGCGTTAGTGTCGTTTTCTCAAGAATTTTAAAGGAGAAAAATTTCGTCATCGTCATAACCATCACTCTACAAATGGTCCTCCGCTGGGCAAAAACTCCTTTTTTATAGGATAGGTTGACAAACGAGCACACAGTCCACCTGATGGTAAGTGGTTGTTGTGGCCCATAGACATCTACATCTATCCTCGATTACGAATCAAAATGCAGATGCGTTGTCACCCGTGAGGACTTAGATGGAATGCCCCGTTTCCAGTACGAAACACAGCAGCATTAAGCTACTATTTGACGATGGTATTCTGTGAGAGCGTGGTCCCTCCCCGGTCTAGCCGACCCATTCGTGCTACAAGAATACTACTTGCATCTCGGCGCTGGGACGTTAGATTTTAACTTGGTCCTCGTCACAGGCATAAGATGATTTTACAATTGCCATTTATGGGACTCTAGTTGGTTAAAATTTACATACATGATGTGACGGAATCAAAGATTATTTTACGAGTCAAAGTCGAAATTCAATATTTCGACAATAAAGATGCGATTCAGTTTGTCGGCATTTTTTTACTAAAAAAAAAATAGAAGATAAGTTTTAATTAAGTTTTATTAAGCTAGCGTTAAATGAAATTCGCTCACACACGAAAATTAACTTCTGTACTCATTAAGTCTATTTTTCTCAGCGAAAAGAGATAATTTCCAGAAATGTCCAATGTCCATATGTCCAACCAAGTCCAATTTACAAGAATAAATAATTAATTTTAGTTTTATCAAAATCTTTTAAGAGCGCATAAATTAATTATGAGTTACTATGACATATTTATTATATAAGTATGTATGTGTTAAAATATGTATTTATGTCAAAACAGTAGAGAAACGTAGGTAGTATATTTATGTAGAATTACATTAACTTTACACTATTATTCATTCTGTAGTAGAATTTAGTTAGAATACCTGGAATATGTATCTAGTTTTATAAATACAAAAGCAGAAATAATTTTTTAATCATTTTAATAAAACTTACTGCCATTTCCTTTCAAGTTTAAGGGAGTTGGAATTTCCCATATCTGATGATGCTCAATACTTTTTACCAAACACTGTTCCGAACACAGGATCCGCGTTTGGATACAATAGCGTGGTGCACTTTAATAGAACACGTCTTAGCCATTCGAGTACCCGTGAAACTATGATATGATCAACCTCCACAACTGTAGGTATCGTAATTGCAGTTTGCAGTTGGCCATGACTTTCCTTCTGGTAGTGGTAAATTTTGCGTCATTTGCAGTCATTCAATGAAACATCAGCAAACAAATATCCTGGTTTACTGTAATAAAAATATTTTTTATAAAAAAAATTTTTAAAGCCTTAATAAAATTATCGAGACATCAAAGACTTTTTTCAGCTACTCTATACTAGATGGCGCCTTTTGACAGCTTGAATTGTAAGATTTGTACAAATTTTATTAAGTAATTTGATTTATAATTCCAAACTTTAAAATTAATGAGATGAACCCTTTAATTACGTATAACATTTTGAAGTAAGCAAACTATATAAAAATGTAATAATAGTCTTTGACATTAAACTACTTAAATTTTAATAAATTATAATATGAATTCTTTTAAATTGCTAAACAGAACACAATGACTCAATATCAACTTTTACTGAGAAGTAAGCGTTCCAAAAGAAACTTTAGAAATATTCCTTTGGATTCCATTGGATTCCCAAACTGGTACTCCCATATTCGAACTCAAAGAGGACGAAAACGAGGCGAGGTGTCTACATAAACGAAAACTGATTTTGTTTACTTTGCGATTTTAATGCTTTTTTTCGAAAATAATTACCTATTTAAGTATTTTTACGTAATTTGTATTAATAATTACTATTACATGATGATATTTACTGAATTTTATGTCTATTTATTTTGTTAAATTTTGATGAGAAAATGATGTCAAGTTTACTCACTTAACCAACCGCAAAGTTTTTAAATTCGTAAGCATTTTGTATCAATTGGAAAAAAAAACTGGAGATGGGATTTGTTATGTAATATGGTGGTCTGAGAAATCAGTTCAGTTTGGAAAAGGGATCTCTTGCCCAAAATAGTTTGGGAATCCCTGTTCTACAGGATACATTTCGAAATGCGCGCTGAACAGTGTGTATCGGACAACCAGACGAGCCAGATTCCAAGAAAGAGTATGGCTCCACCCCTGAGTTATCATTAGTTACCAATATATCACGCATTTGAACCATCATATAATTTATAATAACTTAATAGGATATAGTACCGGAAGTGGTATAACGCCCGACGGAAATTTAAAAAACTCAATTTGCTTTGTCGTCTTGTTCGTAAGTACTGCAATGGAGTGGAATAATTTTCCAGCATCTGCCTTCCCATCCGATTACAACGTAGATGTCTTGCGGTTATTGAAATAATAAGCTAGCGAACGACCTTGAGTGTTCCGTCCTATATATTCCACGTGTTCTAGCTACAATGTAATATATCAAATTGAAAAAAAAATAGATCAAAATGTTCATTAATAAATTGCCTATCCATTAGTGTCAATCGCAAAATAAAATAATACTCACTTTATGAGAAGGTGCATGCTATCAATAATTATTTCGCATTTCTGTGGTTTAGTTGTAAGAAGGTTCATCAAGTATATACTCCTTTTAAAAAAATTGGAATTGGCTATTATGGAATCAAGATTATGTAGAAATTTAATAGACTTTTATATTAGTTGATATATCTATTTAAAAACAAATAGATAGCTCCTAAAAAGCTCACAAATAATGACTAGCGTGGCATTTTGCTCAAACACGCAGCTTAGGCTAAGTCGGTGCGCTTCATCATCTTCAACTATATCACTACTTACCATTACGTAACATAGTAACCACGCACTGGCTTATTCACAGATACACTAGTGAGAGAGCTTATTATACTTAAAACATAAAGGTTTGAGAATTACTAAAAAGTGGAATTAGGGCAGTAGAATAGCGTGCCTTAGACGGGCCGTGTATCAAAGTTTAAAGGGAGGGCCCAAATAAAGGGTAATTTTTTTTACAAAAGGAACAAAAACGAGCGAATTTAATTAAAATACTTTACAATTAATACTCCTATGAACTGGTGTGTCGTTGTCATTCATTTAAACAGGGGATTCCTGCAATAACTTATGTATTTATTAGTAATCTGTGGTCGCGGGTCAGTCGTGTAGTGAGACATATTGCCAACTTTTGGGCGCCCACTTGACCTGGGGCAAAAAGAGATTGCTTTTTTAACTTTCATAATTTTAAAAGTGAAAATTTCTTTAGGCACGTTGGACACTTTTTATCATATGATTATTTCTCGGGTAGTACGGCCTAAGAGTTTAAGTGTGATTGCGGATAACATTTTACGAATTTTTGCTTACACACGTTCGGGGCCCCTGTAGCCCGGGGGCCCATATCATTGATATAGCTGATACGGCGGTAGCTACGCACCTGAATTAGGGTTGTATCTTTGCTCGAAAGCAGTAAGCTGATTCAAATTTAATATTACAAATTATTTAGCAAACTAATAATTCTAGTTTTAGTCGCTTAAATATTACGAAGTAATAAGCATGTAATGCCAGTACCACTACCCCATATCGTGGGTGTCGTAAGAGGCGACAGAATTAAACAAATCAGGACATGGGCAGCAGCGTCTACCTAATAACGATTAAAAATAAAAAAACTGCGCTGGCCAACCCGCTTGCCAAGCATGGCAACTATGGCAAATATCCCACCTTATGAAGCAATCTATGGGGGAGGCCAATGTTCAGCAGTGGACTTTAATTGGTAACATAATCTATTATTAATTATTGTAAACTTATCGAAATTACAAAATATTTTCAAGAAGAAAAATTTTGGTGTCAAGGGTAATAATAAAAATATTTATTCTATTGATATACTCGTACAGCTTGACATTACCTCACATGGGTTCAAGGTTGGTACCAGCAGTATCGGCTAACCTTCTTTTATTGATAGCTTGTAGCATTAAATATGATTTATCAAAATGTTCGGAGCAAATGGTGCTAGTCCGTTTAGGTATCCAAGATTCATGATTTCTACAAGCTGCAATCCAAGTCTGCTGCCTAAGAGGATCTCTTGGAAATATGTGAAATCAAACCAATAATAGAAAAATTCCATGCGTTTTGTAATATTTTACTATAAAATCTAAACAAAAAATAAAAACCAGTTCAGCATTTAACAGTGGTAGAGCCACGCGGCAGCTTTGCTGTTGCACGTATGGGCCGGCTCAAACCGGGGTGGTACCACGACCTCACAGAATACCGGCGTGAAGTGGAAGCTCTGCTTCCGCGTTTCGCCTGGTGAGTGCAGGTGGCCGGAGGCCCAAATCCCCCCCCCCCATCAACATGGTAGCGGAATTAAATAATGATCGACTACCCCAGGAGGGTACCAGCACCCCTGGAGAATCCCTCGCTGAGCATCCACGACCGTGTTTCTCCACTTCTGAGCGTGGGTGCTCAGGCTGCCCCGCGTATTCTGGGGGGGGGCAAAATTCCGCTCAAGACTACAACTGCTCGGGGCAAACGGAGCAACAAGACCAAGGCGACCCCTGCCACGCTGTCCGTGAATTTCTGCAATATCAGGGGACTTCACTCTAACCTAAACGCCGTCCACTACCATCTCGAGACGGCGAGGCCGGCTCTGCTCTTTCTGACCGAGACGCAGGTGTCCTCTCCGGCTGATGTCTCGTATCTCTCCTGCCCGGGGTACAAACTGGAACACTCCTTTGTGCCTCGGGCTGGAGTTTGCGTTTACGTCAGAGAGGACATCTGCTCTCGACGCCTCGGCAGACTTGAAGGTTCGGACCTGTCCATCCTTTGGCTACGCGTAGACAGCGACGACCATCCGCGCGTCTACGGGTGCCTCTATAGGTCCCATAGCGGTAATGCCGAAACAGACCGACTATTCGACCACGTCCAAATGGCTGCAGATTCGTTGCTACAGCAGATCCCCTCCGCAGAGATCGTGATCCTCGGCGACTTTAACGCCCATCACGCCGAATGGCTTGGTTCACGTTTAACCGATCATGCGGGGAGATCTGTTCATGATTTTGCCTTGGCATATGGTCTGACACAACTGGTTACTTCGCCTACGCGGATTCCAGATGTGGAGGATCATGCACCTTCCCTGTTGGACCTTCTGCTGACCTCTCACCCGGACGGATATCAGATTTCCGTCGACGCCCCTTTAGGCTCCTCGGACCATTGTCTGGTCCGGAGTGTGGTGCCACTCACGCTGAAATCGCGGTTGCATTCTGCAGGCTGCCGCCGTGTTTGGCACTATAGGTCAGCCGATTGGGATGGGATGCGGTCTTTCTTTGCATCCTACCCTTGGGGGCGGGTTTGCTTCTCGCCGGATGATCCCAACGTTGTTGCGGATTCTGTCGCTGATGTGGTACTTCAGGGTATGGAACTTTTTATTCCTTCCTCTGTGGTGCCCATTGGAGGCAAGTCTCAGCCATGGTTTGGTCACTCCTGTAAAATAGCATCATGCTATAAGCAGGAGTGCTACCAAGCCTGGGCTGATGCATCAGCGTCCCGGGATGTAAACACCAGCGCTCTAAAAAAGAAGTATAATTCCGCCTCTAGGTCCTTCAAAAGAGTCATTGCCAAGGCAAAGTCAGAGCACATAGGCAGAATTGGCGAGAAACTAGTTCGCCTTCCTTCTGGAACCCGTGCATTCTGGTCTCTCGCCAAGGCTGTCCAGGGTAATTTCTGTCAGCCATCTCTTCCATCTCTGCACAGGGAGGACGACTCACTGGCCCATACCGCAAAGGAGAAAGCCACTGCACTGGTGGACCGCATCCAGATGGTGTGGATGGTATCGGGACGTTTGACGTGTAGTGCGTTCACGAAATTTGGCGGCTGGGATTAATCCGAACAATTCCTCAGAGCACTCCCCGTGATAGATGCGATAAAATACGCAAAGAGATGCAACATCTCTTCGCAGCGCCAGTGAACCGAGCCGATCGGAAAGCACTCGGTCGTCGACGATTCGAGCCGCTCTGCGCTGGATGCGGTCAAGTGCAAGAAGCTGGTACTGGGGAGGCCCAGCCCAGAGATGGGAACAGTATTCCATGTGCGGCCGAACCTGCGCCTTGTAAAGTTGCAGGCGGTGTGCCGGCATGAAATACTGTCCCGCTTCTTCACATCATAATCACACTTAACTATTAGGCCGTACTACCCGAGAAATAATTATTTTTTAAGTACGATTTTGAAAATGTTGATTACTTGGTTTTAGACACTACGAATCGTACCTCATTACGTACACGTAAAACAAATATTATTAGCCTTCAGAGTTCAAATGAACTCATGCCCGCTTATGACAAATGTCTACTAATTTCGAATGCTTTATATAGTCTATGTGATACCAATGCTATACCATTGCATTACCAAGGGTTTTATAGAAATTTGGTAACGCAAAATGATACCGCTAATTTAGAAATTTTTGATACATCGGATGAAGATTAATAGTTTGAAGTTCTAATAACTCCTACAATAATTGTATCAACCCTTGTAATAATAGAAAAGGTTTTATAAGACTGACTTGATATTCAAGGAGAATAAAATTATTTGTTGTATAATAATAGTTGTCTGTTAATTAATTTAATAGACAATAATGTAAAGTCAAACTTACGTGCCTGTTTACAACTATTTTGTGATAACTGTAGAATTTTTATAATAGTTAGGTGCTCAAATTGTCTAAGGTCGAATCATTGTTACTTTTATAGTTATTTTGTATAATTTGATTAGATATTCTCCTATTTCAGTTTGTTAAATGTTTTAAATTTTATCCTTCATAATGTAAAATAAACCTGTAACAAAATAATAAACTTCCTTTCAATAATTTCTAAGTTTTTTTCCGAAGATCATTTTTAAATACTTTAAAAAAATATTCAAATAACACCTTGGTATTATTTATCTATGTATTACTTATAATCAAATAAAAACTTATGCGGACTACGGTGATTTGTATATCGATAAAAATATCGACATAGTTCACGCCTTTCGTTTCTGACGCATGTAGACAACGCCATCAGTATATCCAAGTATATCGACACGTGTACAATTTGATGGTATGCGTAAACCGTAAACGCAATGAACACAAACACAAATGCTGTAGTATGTAATGCGTTTATAGTGACGCGATTTAATTTTGCATTTGTAGTCAAGTATACATTTGTGTGTTTTTCTTGCGCCCCCCTGATGTTGACAGAATTTTTGTATGGGAATTAACGCGCATGGCCTCTCCAGTTGGTTGAACACTCAAAGATTCTGAGTGTATGGAAATTGTTGATATCCATAGACTTCTGGCGAACCTTAGTCTATGGTTGATATAACAAATGAAAAAAATGTTATGATTTTTGTTTCATGGCAGCACTGGTCAAAGTGTCAATGTCAGACGGACGTGATGGAATTCCATTGTAAAAACTAAAAACATTTAATTCCATATATATGTATATAATAAAATAATATTTTCTACGGAGTCATTGTTTCTTTTAAAAATAAAATAAAAATCTATTGGATACAATATTTGTATTTCAATAAATTAGGGTATTTTTTTAGATAACCATGAAAAAAGAAGGTAAAGTAAATTATTCGTATATTGGGTTATATTATAACAAGGTTTTATAACTGAAATCTTTGCTATTTTCCTAGTAGATGATCATAATTTTTATTTCAATTTTAGAAGTTCAAGAAATTTTCCTTAAAATTTTAAGAGAGGAAGAGGATGTCTCTGCTGGAGTAGCGGCAATTAGAACACTTCTTACAGTAATAGAAAATTATAAAGGTATGAAAGGAAATTTACTCTTACAATTGTTACCAAGTGCCATGACCAAACCCAAATGTATCAAGTTTTAAGAAAGATATATTCTCATTATTTATTATAGTTTACATGTTTATTGTCATTAACAACATCATAACAAATTGAATTAACTAGTTGTAAAATTGAAACTTAAGCCAATTATTTCTATATTTTCTTAGTTATTTTAAGTTTGTAAAAATAGTCAATATTATATGAAAACTTTGTATATTATATATATTAGCCACAACAGGGTTAGATTAACATGTATGTATTAAAAATTGTAAGAAAATAATTATCATCCTTCCAGTGGCAACTGTAAGGGAACTTGATTTGAACCTACAGCTCGCCGTGGATGCTATGCGACACTGTGACCAGCCTGTGACAGCTATATCCTCAGGGTGTGAACTCTTTATGAGGTTCATCACATTTACCAAACTTGATGTTAAGGTACATTTTTTTCTTTTGGTAGAAAATGTTACTCTACATTTAGATTTTTTCTGTATTTTAATGGTGCTTTACATACATAAATTGTAAATGAAAGATTATTCAGACCAAAAAGAATAATATATGGGACATCTGTTATGTATTTACTATTTAATATATTGAAAAAAAAAAAAAATTTAATCAATTTTTTTTATTAGATATAATTTTCGATCCCAGCGACATTGTAAAAATGATCCCTCTGGATTTTTGCTGGTTCTTGCCAAGACAGTGGTATTTTACAATTCAATGCTAAATTAAACTTAAGAATTACTTCTAATAAATAATATTTCTATTCTATATTGAAAAAAAAATCTATTTTTATTTCTATTCTATGGGGATGGGACAGCTGTCAAAATCTAAAGGTTCATCAGAAAAATAAGTATTGCACAGAAAACTTTATTTGAAATCATCTGCAATAATCGCATTATAATTGTCTTTTAGTCATTTGAAGAATGTGAACAGATCATGTTACAAAGAGGACACATATTTTTTGAAACATTACTTGAAGCTAGAGGGAAAGTTGCTAAACAAGCATTACCTTTTATTAGTGATGGTTGTGTAAGTAAAGCAATATGAAATGTTACTATTATATTATGAAAATAATAAAAGTTACAAAGAAAACTCATGACATTTCCAGAAAATTCTGACACATTCCAGATCAAGAGTAGTTCTTCAAGCGATGCTGGAAGCAGCAAAAGCTAATAAAAGATTTCATGTTTATGTCACAATGTCTGGTCCGGACAATAGTGGGTAAGTTTTCTTTTTTTTTTAGTTTACATTAATAGAATTTAATATTCTTCATGGTGTGTAGTGACGGCACATGAGAATTCATCACACTATAACATGTATGTTGCTATTTGATTGTTTAATCAGCTACTAAAATAGCCAAAGCTCTACAATTAGTCTCTAGCATTCAATTGATTGCCTAAATTAAACTTAGCCAAATTACTGTGTGGCCGTAGAATGAAAAGGGGAGATCTCCCGCTGGGCAAGGTGTTCTGCCCAGGGAGCGGCCAACACTATGTTCTATATATACTGTTTATGATTCGGAATTTTGATAGCGTGATTTAGGCTTCGGTGTGTTTCGCTTGCGGCGCGACGACAGTGCCGCCACATCACCCCCCTGCTCAGACCAGAGGTCGATAGTGCAGCCTCATTGCCGACATATGTGAAAGTGCCAGGACATTGCCTTGTAGTCTGTGGTGAGTCGAGAAGAAGGCAAGTAATCTGCGAGAGTGCCGTGAAGCAGAGGCGAGAAGTAAGTAAGGTTCAGAGCCGTGCCGAACACACACATACAGCAGAGTGTAGCTTGAAGGAACAGGAAGCATTATTATTCCAGTGCTGCGATGAACCTTGTGAAGCTAGATGGCTTGCAGCATATGAAGACTGGGTAGGGTAGGGTTATTCTATGACGATGATGAAGCTTGAAGTTTCCGAAGGTTGTTTGGTTGCGTGTTCAGATTACGTCGGCCAATACGCCATGTGATAGTTCGGAGATGTTCTATATATACTGTTTATGATTCGTAATTTTGATAGCGTGATTTAGGCTTCGGTGTGTTGCGTTTGCGGCGCGACGACAGTGCCGCCACAACTGAATGAAAGTGTGGTTAAATGAAACTGACATGTAGTGAGGTTAATTGTGAGTTTGGTTTAACCACACTGCAGCTATTATGGTTGTAGCATGAATGGGTTGGCTCAATCGAGGAAAAGCGGACCACGGGACTACACTCTCACAGAATTGTTTTGACCCGTTTTACTGGAATCGAAGCATTCCATCTTAGTCCTCAAAGGTGACAACGCATCTACATTTTGATTGTTTAGCGAGGTTAAATGTAGATGTCTATGGGCCACAGCATCCACTTACCATCAGGTGGACTGTGTGCTCGTTTGTCACCCTTATCATATAAAAAAAGTTTCAGCTCAGCGTGATGTTTAAAATTCAACTCTTCAGGATCACTGATGTCTGTTTTCTTTTATTGAAAATAAAATAAATGCCTCAATGAGGTCTAATAATTTTTCGCTCACCAGATGTCGCTAGGTGGGATTGAGGTGAAGTTATTTTTAGATCATATCGGCATAAGTGAACAGTTGCATTCCAAATATAAGCTTATCGGTTCCCAGTGTTTGTACCATACAAAAAATAACATACACAAAATTAATTTAATGCATATTTTTTCCTTTTTTTAAATTCTTTTACTTTTAGGAATATTTGTAATATAGATATGAAGTCATTTGTCAACAATTTCAACGGAACGGATAACAACGGTTGTTTTGTTTTCAACGGTTGACAACCATTTTTGATGGCTTGAAATGGATAAAAACATATTTTTTGTGTGCAATAAGTTTTTTCTCTTTTGAAATGAATAAACCACAGAAAGCCCTATAATGTATAATAGGCCATTTTTTGAGATAGCACATTTTCAAAAACCGCAAGTACAACTTTGTCATTTACACAAACACTATGAAAAACAAAGTAATTTGTTACTGACGATAATGATAGGTGGTATTTTGAGTAAATCGTCTGCAGTCGGATAAACAACCGGATAACAATTTTCAAACAATTTCCCTCGCCCTTGCCTTGCCCTCCATGTAATCTGTCAAATATTTCACCTAATTCTTAAGTGACGCTGCCTTGAAAAGAAAAAATGTGGATGTCCTCACTGATCATTGTCTCTAAGGCAAGACTGATAGGCTTTGTTAAGAGCCAGAATGCTATAGGATTTCTGCTTTGTGAGGTGGCTATTGTACAGCAACTTAATTTTTTTATGCACAGTAGAGCTACATTTCAGCTATATTATGATAGAAGGTTTCTATATGTGGTAGAGCCATGCTGCAGTTATATTAGTAGTATAGTTGAAGCACGAATGGGTCAGTTCGACCAGGGAAGGACAACACTCTCACAGAATACCAGCGTAAAATAGTAGCTTATTGCTGCTGTGTTTCGTATGGTGAGTGTAGAGAACCGGAAACCCTTTTTACTGGAAACAAGGCATTCCATCTTAGTCCTCACGGGTGACAACGCATCTGCATTTTGATTTGTAATCGAGGATAGATGTAGATGTTTATGGGCCACAGCAATCACTTACCATCATCAGGTGAACTGTGTTTGTTTGTCACCCTATTCTATAAAAAAAGTAGCATAAATGGATAGGGTTGACCAGGGTAGAACCACGCTCTTACAGAATACCACCGCGAAGTGGCTGGACAGTGCAGAATACCGTCGACTAAATACACCATAACTCCCTCAGGAAATAGAGACCTGGGCCTAGCGTGGGCCTAGCGGTGGGACTCATAAAGGCTATGTTAATTTTACTTTATCAGAGTGCTGATGCACAAGCAGCTGGAAGCTGGTGGAGTTGACGCGACGCTGATCTTGGACGCGGCCGTCGGTTACATCATGGAGCAGGTGGACATCGTGATGCTCGGCGCTGAGGGCGTCACCGAGAGTGGCGGCATTATTAATAAGGTTATATTTTCATCATCATCATCATTCACCACGTGTTCGGCGATGGAGGAAAACATCGCGGGGAAAGTATGTCTGAGAAATTTACCAAATATTTTCGAAGACATGTAGTTCACTAACACCTATTGGGTTGGGGCAGCATGGCAGTTTTTATTTTTTATTTTCCTTTCCCTAAAAACCTTCTCAGAAATTAGAGGCGGCCTGTTACCAGCTGTGGGACGTATATAGGCTGGAACTTTACTTTATCGTCATTATTACAGCCTATTAAAAGTTACTGCTAAACTCATGCCTCCCCACCCCACTCAAGGGATTCCGCCTTGTGCAAGTTTTATTTTTAGTTGTTATTAAGAAGATGTGACTGCCCATCTTTGGTTTCATTTTGAGTATTCTCAATCTACCAGCAATCAGGAGAATATTTCTAGATTAATTTTCATCTAGATCAGGGACATTTTTATATAATGTTCTTCAGAAGTAAACAAGGTAATCATGCTTATTACAGATCATTTTATTTGTTGTCATGGAATTTCAATTAAATTTTCAATATTTGTTCATCGGTTTGTTTGTTAAAAAAAAGAGAAGTCGCTGCAACAGTACACTCATTGTTGTAATGATGATGATGTCGAAAACAGGAGGCACTGAAGTTACCTCGTCTATACTTCACGCTTCCCATAATGGTTTGAGGCACACTGAACCTTAAGCTCACCTAAACATTAAGTTGGAAAGGTCTCATCTAATGAAGTTAATGCTCCATCCCCCTTGTGCTCTAATCCAAAATCCCGAAGCATTTCAGCTCTAGTTATAAAATTGTTTTCAGTGCCTAGAAGATTTCAATGCAGGGGACGATATGAATCACAAGCTCGTGGAAACTGTCCTTGCGATCGAAGCTAAGTTTTGCAAGATCCGCCGTAGAACACAAAAACTCTCTGATCACACTCTTAATCTCATGGCTGTTAGACAGGCAACTGAACAGACAGATCTCCAAACATATGCAGTGGGACTTATGCAACTTTAATACTACTCGTATTAAAGAAGCAATCGAGCGGAACGAGGGCTCCAAAGTCTGCCAGAGATCTGTCTGCCAGTAAGAGCCAATTATCAAAGCTGAAGACTGAATGTGGCAGCATCGTCTCCAGGACACCTGCGATTTTGAATGAGATTGAGAGGTTCTATGGGCAGTTGTACGCTTCATCGTTCATCACGATCCAAGAGCAAGTCTTATCCGACACTATTCCGATGATATCCCCAGGACGTAAGTCTGAGCGAGATTAGAATTACTCTCCAGCATCTTAAAAATGTACGGAAACTTCTGAAAGCGGGTGGAACATCTGTACTTAAAGTCCTTCAGAAGCTCTTTAATTCCGTCCTCGATGGTGGCACTACTCCTGAGACGTGGATCAGAAGTGCGGTGATCTTATTCTTCAAGAAAGGCGACAGCGCTCTCTTGAACTACAGACCGATTTCCCTTCTGAGCCACGTCTACGTGCTGATTTCGAGTCATTACGAATCGTTTCTCACGCAGACTAGACGACTTCCAGCCTTCCGAAAAAGCCTGTTTCCGAAAAGGCTTCAGTACCATAGACCCACATGATGCCCTGCGGCAGATTGTACAGAAGACCGAAGAGTACAATCTGTCACTTTACCTGGCGTATGTGGACTATAAGAAAGCCTTTGATTCCGTCGAAATTTGGGCGGTGCTACAGTCCCTTCAGTAGTGCCAAGTTGACTGTCGGTATATCGAAGTTCTGAAATGTTTGTACAGTAGAGCTACGATGGCTATCCGAGTACAGAACTAGAGTACGAAACCTATCCAACTGCAGAGAGGTGTAAGACAGGGTGATGTTATATCCCCGAAACTCTTCACTGCAGCATTGGAAGACGCTTTCAAGCTACTGGACTGGAAAGGATACGGTATTAACATCAATGGTGAGTACATCACTCACCTTCGATTTGCTGACGATATAGTCGTTATGATAGAATCGCTGGAGGGACTAAGCACTTATGCTTAATGACCTCAATAGTGTTTGCCAACGGATAGGTCTTAAGATGAACAAGGACAAAACAAAGATCATGTTTAATGTCCATGTCACACCTATGCCGGTAGTTGTTGGGAGCACTATGCTCGAAGTTGTTGACGAGAACGTTTACTTGGAACAAATAGTCCGACTAGATAAGTCCAATTTAGACCGAGAGGTCAATCGACGGATTCAACTTGGCTGGTCAGCGTTCGGAAAATTACGACACATCTCATCGGGTGTACCTCAAAACCTGAAAACTATATTGTATAACCAGTGCGTGTTGCCATTGATGACTTCTATGACTCTGAGACGTGGTCCTTCACTGCTGGCCGTATGAAGACGCTCAAGGTTGCTAAGTGAGCTATGGAGAAGGCTTTGCTCAGATTTCTCTGCATGATAAACTTAGAAATAAGGATATCCGAAGTAGAACCAGAGTGACCGACATAGCCCAACGGATTAGTAAGCTTAAGTGGCAATCGGCCGGCTATATAGCTCGAAGAACCGATAACCGATGAGGAAAAAAGGTTGCCGAGTGGCAGCCTCGTACCGGTAGGCGATGTGTAGAGCGACCCCCCACTAGATAGAGTGATGACCTGGAATGGAAAGAAAGAATGCAGGAAGTCGATGGATGCAGGTGGCTCAGGACCGTGCTTTGTGGCATTCTTTGGAGGCCTATGTTTGGCAGTGGACTTGTGAAGGACTGTAATGATGGTGATTTATACATAATTGCGCAAGTACCGACAACAGATGGGGAAAAGGTTCTCGAGTAGCATCCTCTTATCTGTACCAGGTGTAGGGCAGCCCCCCACGAGAAGAAGTGACAAAGTTGATTAATGCAGGTAACTCAGGGCCATGCTTTACGGTGTTCTTTAAGGGAGGACTATATTCACTAGTTGGCTTGTGATGGGCTGGAATGATAATAATGACGTTACTTGCGTTCACACGTATGTGTTATATCTGTCGCAGCCTAATTATTTTATCAGCTCGTTAATTGGGCGGCTTTATATAAATGCCAACATTCAATTGTCTGATGAACACATTTTCAACTATTCTCCTATGGGAGATTGTCCTCCTTACCTCTATACTCCACGGTTGCATGCTTAATTGACGCCATCTTGTAAAATTACTGGTAGCACTGTGCAGAGGCAGAAACAGAAACTAAATTGTAATGTATTATAGCGGGTCTGTTCGATTAAAATGCTAAGCATTTACATTTACTCTCATAACACCTAACGGTTCAATTAACCAGAAAAATGCAGAAAGTTTAAGTTATAATTTTAATATGACTTATAAGTCATATTTAAAATTATTTTCAGATTGGTACATACAGTTTAGCGATGTCGGCATTAGAACTGAAGAAGCCCGTCCATGTGCTGACAGAAAGCTTCAAATTTTCGAGAATATATCCGCTCAACCAACAGGATTTGCCCAATGAATTTAAATACTTATCGAGTGTCTTGAAAAGCGGCAAGGATCTCTCGAAAGAACATCCCCTTGTTGATTACACGCCACCTGCCTATATTACGCTACTTTTTACAGATCTAGGAATTCTTACCCCGTCAGCAGTTAGCGACGAACTAATTAAGTTGTATCTTTAAGAGAAATTGTATTTAACAATAAATTTTTAATATAATGTTATCGGTTTTTATTAAACGTAGGAATACCTAGCTACCCAGAGGTTTACCAACGAATCTTTGTCTTAGCTATGTTTTGGAAACTGCAACAAATTTTCTTTGCTACAAAAAATGTGTTACATTGCAAACCCAACTTAAATTTTCGTCACTGCTTTTAGTGTCCGACCCTATTATTAACTAACACGAAAAATACGACGTCAGCCAACCATACAAATAAAACTTTCAAAGTATTAAAACCAATTTATCTGGCACTTTTATTATAGTATGAAAATATTTACATTCGCATATACTTTTATTTAAAATAATAAAAAACACAAAATAGTAGGTACTTCATCAACTATCTCACTTTGAGTAACATGATTTTATTCTATCGATTAAAATATTTTCTTAAATTACGCGCGCTAACTAGGCAAGTCAAATGACATAATATATCATTTAAGTATAGACGTGTAAATACAAATATTAAAATGGAAGCACGTTATTTATTTATATCACGACTTACTACAGTAAATTCAAATATAAACAAAATATTTTTACAAGTTTCTTATAAAAAATACGAAAGTTCTTGGTTTGTATTAAAAAACTATATTTCATGTAAACTAAGGGAAAAATAGTGTTAACATAACAAAAATTATTATCTGTTTATTATAAATCTGCTTATTTATCTTACTACTACTTACTTGAACTACATACTTGAAAACTATTTAACAGATGAAAACTGTCATAAATTGTTTTGAAACACGTAGGTTTTATTACATTTTATTGTACTAAGTTTGAAAGAGTTTCATAGTCGTTAATTAAAAAATAATACAAATAAAGTCCTTATTTCAATCATAATACATGTTAATCGTAAAGATATAAACAAAAATTAAATCTAATAAATCAGTTTTAATCTAGTACAAAAATAAACTTTTTAAGATTATAATGGAGATTTTAATACAAGGTTTGTTTATCGCATGTAATTCACACAAACAAGTTTCTATAACTATTAAAAACTTCTTTTCATTAGTTTTCAAAAGTATTCAAAACTTCTTCAACACACACATATTAGAGAGGTAAAAACTAAAAACCTGTCAATCAATTGCACCATTTCTAAATTACCAATTTATAGAATAAAACGATGAGGATTTCGCAACTATTGTTGTTAAAAAAAAAAACTATAGTTGAAGCAGTGTTATTTTTTTTCTTGCGGATAAACATATTTATCCATTTAAAACACATAGAAGCGCATACATAAAAGAACTAACGCATAATAAATTCGGGTCAGGAGGCCTAGGTTTCTGATAATACAACTTAAAAATACTGATAAATTGGTTCCGCTCAGCGGTAATGACTATTTTGTATCAAGACTCACTGTTTGTTCCTTTTTAACATTTGTCCATTATAAAATAAAGCGCACTAATAATACAGGCTTGATAATAACCTAGTAACTAAGGTACACAAAAAATATTAGAAATCTTTTATTTTTCGTTAAACTTTAAATAGAAACATAAAATAAAAGAAATCTATTAAATATAGTGGCAATATTTCACCAAAATTACATTATAACGTTCAAATAATATTTGTTACATAATATCATTAGGTTTCAATCATTCACATAGCGTTTCATGTCTACATATTATTAATAATCGCTATTCAAATATCTGCGAAATTGCCTTTATGCGGCTATCGAATAATTAGTCTCTTCGTCATTTCATTGTACACAAACATTGAAAAACGTTCATAATACATACTTAAGCTATGGTCCCATGGCCCTATGGTTTCATTTTATTTCTCTGTTTTATTAAATAGCGAAATTAAAATTTTACCATGTTTACAAATATCTTGGTTGAGTAGCAACCAATTCTATCAAAGATATGCCATATTATAACGCAGCAAACATTTTTTTCCCTCGTTTACCTTACAACATAAACATATTTTGGTTCAAATTTGAACAACAAAAACATCATCTTCCAGTCTATCTCCCTAAGTAATTTTATGTCTAATTGTCGGTTACATATAACATTGTTACGAAAACGTTAAATCACGATTTAGTCACTTTGAAACAAATGTGACCAACATATAGTATAATCAAACGACATGACGCTAATAATAATCAATCGATCCGATAAACAGATTGTGTTTATCAACGTCACGTCATAAACATAATGTCACGCTGTTACTCGTCACGTCGCGTTTTATAACCTTTGGACGTAGATTATCGTTACCTATTGTATATGCTGTCGATGATTGTGTATATTTGGTGGAAATGAGGCCGTTTTTCGGCTTCGTATTCCCAACAACGTAGCATTAAAGCGTATACTTCCTCGGAACAGCCTTCTGGCGCCGGCATACGATAACCGGCATCGATCTTCTCCCTCGCGCGGGAATTGCTCATTCCCGCGTACGGAGTGTCGCCCTTAGAGAATATCTCCCACATGAGCACGCCGTAACTCCATACATCGCAAAGGGACGTGTATTTGCCTGGAAATAAAGTGAGCGAATTATTATACAATAATAAAAGGTACTTAAGAATAAGTGAAAGTAAGAATAAGTCAGCCTGTAATAGTCCACTGTCTGGCCCCACTATTGTAAGGAATTGTGTGGAAACCCAGTGGGGTTCCATGGTAGAGTTTCGTTGCAACCATATTATGTTACGTTATAGCACGAATGGGTCAATACACTTACACAATACCAGCGTAATATAGCAGCTTAACGCTGCTGTGTTTCGTATTGTAAGTGTAGAAAACCGGAGACCTTTTTTACTAGAAATGAGGCATTCTTTCCAACGCATCTGTATTTTGGTACTTAATTCAAGATATCATTGGGTCATAGCGTCCACTCACCATCGGGTGTACTGTGGTTCGTTTGTCACCCTTATTCCATAGAAAGTTAAATTAGTATACACGGAACGAGTCGTGAGCACAGCTTTGAAATGCACAATAGTTCGATTGTTTTTGGAAAAGTATAAGGGCCGGGTGTTTACGGAGAACATTCTTTCACATGATTAGTCCGTTAATTAACTATCTTCATCTATTAGATATTCAAGTCATGACATTCATTTGCACTATATATTGGCTGGCAAATGTATATGCGCAAACACTGTCACCTTTTATTTAAAAAAAGCACTGACCGAAGTTAAGCGCCTCTGGCGCGGTCCACTTGATGGGTATCTGCTTCATTCCGCCGGAGACGATGTACTCCTCCTCCTCGCGCGACATGCCGAAGTCGGAGATCTTGACGGTGTTATCGTCGGCCACGAGGCAGTTGCGCGCGGCCAGGTCGCGGTGGATGCAGTTCTTGGACTCCAGGTAGCGCATGCCGGCCGCCGCGTCGCGGCACATGGCCAGCTGCGCGCGTGCGCCCAGCGCCCCCGCGCGCGTGCGCAGGAACGTCAGCAGCGATCCGCCTGCCACACCGCCCCACATTAACTCGATGATTCATCGTTCGCAGAGCTTAGTGCTCAGAAACTAAGCCTACTATTACAGTCTATTAGCAGTCCACAGCTGAACATCCTTGTTCTTGGGGGCAGGGTGCTATTCTCTTGCAGTCCCAGCTGAATTGTTTTAGAGGAGAAGGGTACTGATGATTTGAGTTAGTGCTAAGCCTATATACAGTCTATTAGCAGTCCACAGCTGAACATGCCTATGTTCAATTATATTACCTCTAGAGGAGATATTGCGTGCGCAGGAACGTCAATAGCGACCCGTCTACATCACCATGCCCCAACATTAACTCGCCAATCCGTTCATCGTTTGCAGAATGTAGTGCTCGAAGCCAAACCGTTGTCAAATGCTTAACATAGGCCTCCCTATAGATATTACAGATATTACATGCGCGCGTGCACAGGACCCTCAGTAGCGACGTGCTTGACACCACCACGCTACATGGTTAACTCACCAATCCATTGTTCAAGTAGTGCTCAAGGGCTAAGCCTACTATTACAGCCTATCAAGTCTACTGTTCAAAATAGACCCCCTCCCCCCATAGAGTATCTCATAGGTAAGCCTGCACCGCAACCGCGCCCCAACATTAACTCAACAATTCATCGTTTGCAGAGATTTGTGCACAAGATTTACGCCTACTACTACAGCCTATCATCCACTACTGAACATGGACCTCTTCAAAGATTGCCTCATAAGAAATATATTGTCTGCACGCGTGAGCAGAAACGTCAGCAGTTGACAGCTTCACAGCTCCGTGATGTAGTGGCTTAGCAATGAGTTGCCGAACTGAGGGCCGCGGGTTCGAACTCCACACGGAACAAGTATTTGCATGACCTACATTCGTTCCGGGTCCGAATGTTTGTCCTTGTGCAATTTATGTATGTAAAACTTTAGCAGCGATCCGCCTGCATCGCCACCCCGCTCTAATATTAAAATGAGGTAGGACGAAATATTGTGTTCTAACCAAGAAGACTTCAAACTTGCTAGAAAACTACACTCGGCGTCACAAAATCGCACCTCTTTAAATTTCTACTTCAAACTACTTTTAAATCCGTTTAATCAATGGTAAGTCTATGAGTATGTTATATCATTGGAAAGGTAATTAAATTTACTCATTAGAAAAAATAATTAATGGTTATCATGTGTTTTTACAGGGAAATAAAAAAGTTATTGTACAAAAGAAGAAAATTACGATTTATTGCAACTTACAAAATTAAATAAAAACATGTTTTAAAATGGCCTAAAACCTAGCGGTACCACCCCTTGCCTTAATTACTGCTTCCATACGGTCTTTCATTGATCTAATCAACGTAACAATGCGTTCTTGAGGAATGTTGTCCCATTCCTCAATGACAGCCTCCTCGAGGTCTTGCAGTGTGGTTGGGGCAGGAGCACAAGTCCGTACTCGCTGCTTTACATCATTCCAGAAGTGCTCTATCGAGTTCATGTCTGGACTTTGCGCCGACCACCGCATAACAGAGATCCCGACCTCTTGAAGGTAATCATGTACAATTAATGCAGTGTGGCAGCGGGCGTTGT